GCCTCGTCCGTTACCTTGTAGTACACGAGCGCGGACCTCACTCCTCGAACCCAGGCACCCCACTTTTGAGGGCGTGCCATGTCGAAGGGCAGCAGCAGGCCTCCCTGCCCCGGCGCAGTCGCCATTGCGCTGGACGGGGCTGGTGCTGGGGCCTGCTGGGCTGAAGCGGACTCGCTCATCGGTCAGCTGAAGGGGCTGTGTGCCTTCAGACGCCGTTCGGCCGGTTTGGCCTAGCGCTAAATCCCACCTTTGTCACCAGTATTGTGTAGTGGGTTGACCGCGTGGCTAGGCCCACTCAGCTCCAATAACATGGTGCACGCTTGGCTCTTACACAACTAAGACAAAGACAAACGGCCAGGAGGCCAACTATATACATATCCAGGGGACACCCCTGGATCCCATTGGGAGGTTCGAACTTCCCTCCCCGTTTCTATTGGCTCCCCGTTGGAGAGACCAAGAGACCAGTTCCCATTGTCCACCCAGGGTCAAGCCCTGGGTGCTCGCTGGCCCCTGGTGGCGGCCAGCGGACACAACAGCCAGCACGATGCGGCCAGCTTGGACAAAGGAGACCTGGGGTTAAGTCTCCACATTGGCCACGAATCTCACTGGGTGACCTTGGGCTGATGATTCTCTCAGGCTAAGCTGCTTCATGAGTTGTTGTGAGGAAGGGGCCGCGGCTCAGCAGTAGAGCATCTGCTTTCCATTCAAAAGACTCCAGGTTCAATTCCTGACATCTTCAGTAAAAAGGACCAAGTAGTAGGTGAGGTGAAAGGCTGAGATCCTGGAAAGCCGCTGCCAGTAGGCATGACTGACCTCAATGAACCAATGGTTTGATTCAGTATAAGGCAGGTTCTATACCACCCTGAGCTCCTTCATGTTCGGAAGGGACTCAGACTCCCAAGCCCGACCCTCATGTTAGTTAGCAGATATGTCGTCCCCCCTGGACTGCTGCCGCCATTGCCCTACCCAACGATTCCCCAGAAAGAAAGCAGCTAATGATGATACTAGCTTCAAGGGAGTACCTAGATTAACACAACAGGTGCCCCGTTCAAACAGGACCGTTTGTTGTGGCACAATTATTTGACAAGTCTCCATTATTTTAATCTATGTATGCATCGCTCTGTTCTTTGGACCGGCATCCTTTAACATGACTGGCAATTGGCAACACTGTCATCGTAACACACATCGTAACACATGTTCCAGGATATAGACCACCAAACTTCTGGTGGTCTGGGAAGCACAAGAAACAGAATACTGCTTGTTCTACCAAAGGCTGTGGCTGCAGAACAAAATGGGGTGGACCAGAGGAAACCTGTAAACATATTAGGGTTGCCAGAGGCTCCATGTCTTGGGAAGTTTCACGAGACGCAGAAATCCCACGAGCACAGCCCTCCCCAATACTTCACTTGTTGATGAAACTGAGAGAAGCACCATCTATGTCCATTACAAAAGACATCTACGTCCATTACAAAAGAGGGTAACTCTATATGTACAGGCCACTCTTCAATCTATTTCATCCAAAATGTAATTCATTTGGGGAATTCATTATGGTACAAAATGGTGTTGGCTACTGGTTTGGCTGTAGACGTGGTCAAGGGAAGCCGGGCTTTGCACCAGTGATTGGCTATAACAACTATCCTTGAGACTATTTATTTATTTAATTCATTTACTCCCCACCTTTCTGCCCAATGGGGACCCAAATCTGCCCAATGGGACCCAAATTAGGGTTGCCAGACCCCCCGGTTCCACAGGGGGTTCCCGATCTACCCCAGATCTTACCTTTCCAAAATGAAACTTAACATATCAGCTAATTTGGTGGGGGGGGGGGTTAGTTTTAAATGTTTTATTAAAGAAAATGTTTCAATACATATCAGAGAAGAAAGTAGCAAAATACATTAACAGTTCTATTAAATGCAATCTTTCACAAGCCTTGTGTACTCAAACTGAAATACTTTTAACTCGTGCTTACAAAACTACCATTCTTATCTAGAAAGCTTAGGAGAAGCGCTCAGACTAATAGTGTAAATCTTAAAAAATGCAACCATTCAATGTAATTGGGATTTGTTGGTAAGAGGTCACTCTCCACAAAGTATGTTAGTGCTGGAATCCACAGTATCAGCTATCTTGCCCATTATAAAATGGTCCCAACATTTATTTCTCCATTGTTGAATTGTTGGGAGTGTTGGGGGACTTCCAGGACGCGGCAATAGACAATCTTGCCATAGCCAATAAGGTAGAGGCTAGGTCCGACACATGTATTTCATTACTATCACATGCGAATGATGAATTTAGGAGTAAAACCGCGGGGTCCAGTGGGATATTTTGAGATGTGATCTTTATTTCCACCAACACCTGGGACCAGAAAGATTGTATTTTTGTGCAGGACCAATTTGGTGGGGGGGGTTTAGACAGTTTTGGGGGCCTGATGCAATTAGCACAGACCCATAGCATCTTACAACACTGTTCCCTTCTCCTCCATTTTATTCTCACAACAACAACCCTGTGAGGTTGGTTAGGCTGAGAGTATGTGGCTGGCCCAAGGTCACCCAGTGAGCTTTCATGTCAGAGTGGGGATTTAAACCTGGTTTTCTCAGATCTTGCCTGACTACCACACTACCTCATGCTGGACCCTTAGAAACATCATGGGGCCAAAGTTGGGGCCTGCAGCAAACAGAAAGGGAGCTCAGGATACAAGACTTTAATTTTTTAATCAAATAATATATAAGATTTAGATGATGAAAAGACAATGTGATGGATGTTGCCAAAATTAAAGGATGATGTGAAGAGAGGAATTCCCCCCTCCCCATTTCTCAGCATCACCCAGAAAAGCTGACGGGGGACAGGTTGGCCAGGACTGATCAAAGGAAGGATTTCATCCAAAATGTAATTCATTTGGGGAATTCATTATGGTACAAGATGGTGTTGGCTACTGGTCTGGCTGCAGACGTGGTCAAGGGAAGCCGGGCTTTGCACCAGTGATTGGCTATAACAACTATCCTTGAGACTATTTATTTATTTAATTCATTTACTCCCCACCTTTCTGCCCAATGGGGACCCAAAGTAGGGTTGTCAGACCCCCCCGGTTCCGCAGGGGGTTCCCAATTTGGAGGGGCTTCTTCCCACTCACCAGCCGCAACCATCCGGCTTCCTCCCCACCTCCCCCCAGCAGCATTTAAAGGAAGTCTTTAAACACTGCTGGGGAGAGGCGGGGGCCTCCGCTCCCCAACATGATGATGTCACTTCTGTGTGATATCATCATGCTGGGGACACGCCACCTCCTCCAGTAATGCCCCCCCAGTCCCCTGCTGGAGATTTTGAGGGACCTGGCAACCCTAACCCAAAGCAGCTTGCATCATTCTCCTGTCTTTTGTTTTTCCTCACAACACCCCTGTGAGGTATGATAGGCCCAAGGTCTCCCAGCAAGCTTCCATGGTACAAGTAGGGATTCAAACCTGGCTCTCCCAGATCCTAGTCCAATACTTTAACCACTACACCATGCTGGCTCTCTAGAGCTGAGTACTTTCCCAACCTTTCCTTCTGACTGGTGTACACAGCTCTCCCCTCCTTTCCATTTATCTTTACAGCAGCCCTGTGAGGTAGGCTATATTGGCCAAAGGTCAATGGCAGACGTTTCCATCCGAGACACCTGCAGACATTTCCATCTGAGTCGCCTGCTATCACACTAAGCCACACAGGCTGTCACATCTCTGCTCCGTGAAATGAGTTTAGCACTTGCCTGACTTTCTTCCCTTGTTCATTGAGCATTTTCACCATGTCAGCAATGGGATACTGGGCTTTGGCAGCACAAAGGCCCCAACCTGCAACAATGAAAAGAAACAGACAGTGCTTAATCCTGCTCTTCACCTATCCCCAGGCGGTCTCCATCGCTATGCTAAGCTAATTCAAAGAAGGGATCACCAGAAACCACTGTACTTTCTCCAGCTGTACTTTCTATCCAATGTACTTTCTCCCTACCCCATTGTAGAGTACTGTGGGCATCGATGCCGAGGTATGAACAACAATAATGAGGTCAGCAATTTTTAATTCACTTTATCAGAAAATTAATCAAATTACAACTTTTAAAATGGAGGGTGGTGGGGATTTTAACGTGTGGCTGTGAGCTGATGTTTTTGTGGATACCTTGTTCAATTTTATTGCTTTAAATTGGAATGGAAAATGGAAATTTTAAACATGAAATTTCCTTGTGACATGGAGTAGGCTTTATTGAATTATAATTAGGGTTGTCATGCAATTTTTTAAACATATTAGTTACTTACAGTGCAAAACTAAGCAGTTACACCACTTCTAATTTCATTTATTTTAGTTTTGTTTATTTAACTTCATTTATACCCTATTCTTTCCCCCAATAGGGAACCAAAGCAGCTTACATCATTCTCCTCTCTCCATTTTATCTGCTGCAACTGGCCCAAGGTCACCCAACAAGCTTCCATGGCAGAATGGGGATTTGAACCTAAGTCTCCCGGATAGTCAGTTGGCTCAGATTGGCTGTAAGTAACTCCATTTAGGACTGCATTGTTCATCATAAGACGTTTCAGTCAATCAATCCATAGATTACACTGCCACAACCTTGTTGGTTTTTTTAAAATGGTGCCATGCTGATAGTGTGACATCACTTCCAGCTTACATCCAGAAGTGATGTCCCTTCACCAGCATGATGTTTATGTGATGCTCTAGGATTTGGGTAAAACTCTATGGTAAAATCAGAAGACCAGAAGTGATGTTACATCACTGTAGGTAAAACCATAGAGTTCTGCCCAAACCCTAAAGCACTGAATTAACATCATGCCAGTGAAGTGACATCAGCTCCAGATATTTGCCGGAAGCAACATCACTCTGTCAACTCAGCACCATTTCACCCCATCCCCACACCCTCCCTAGCTGCTGCCAACCAATCAACACCATCTTCTTGAGTTGTCTGTTTGTCCTAACTTCTCCCCAGCGGTGTTATTACTGTGACCGATTCCCCACAAGCAGCTGTGCCACCGTTGCTCTTCCATTTCCCCCGATCGTATTGGTCAATTTCACACTTTTTGCTCCACGGCTGCATTTTGACTCGCATCTCCCCCCGATTTCCCCCGCGTCTTCTTGATCCTGTTTTTTGAGGATCGAGAAGACGTGGGGGAAACTGGGGGGAGATGCGAGTCCAAATGCGGCTGCGCAGCGAATAGTGTGGAATTGAGCAATACGACCAGGGGAAACAGAAGAGCAACGGCGGCACAGCTGCTTGTGGGGAATCAGTGTCTGTTTAGTTGCAAAGCAGAGAGCCAATGAGAAGCCACAATACAGCTGACCCCTCCCTCGCCTCACTGGGCACCTGCACAAGTAGATATTTAGTTTTAAAGAAATATTTCTAATCCGAGCATTATTTGGATAATTGTCCATCTATTAACACAATCCTTGATAGCCATGTTGTGTCTCTGGCAAAGTTGTGCCCAGAGCAGCTGCCACATCGCTCCATGCCTAGACACATGACTATGCCACAGTATGTCACCACCTTGAGCACCCTAAGTTGGGTGGAAACGTAGTTTTAAAAGGATTTAAATTAAAAAAAAAATTAAAACATTATCTCTCTGGTGTATTTTTATCTCAACCTTCCTCCAAGGAGCTCGGAGCATTTGTTTGGCTGCAAATAGATTTTACTAGTCCACAGTGACCCTCAAACAAGCAACAAATCTACTAGACTGTTTCACAATTATCTGCGTAGCTCAGCATCTTCCGCAGCAAAGGAAATTAAGACAGACATTTAACTATGGATACAAAATAAATATACCAACACAAGCCATTGCTTCAGAAGAGCCTAGGAGACATCATCTTTCTGCCTGCTGGGAACACTCATCTTAAAATGGCTGCCTCCATCGTAGGAGAATGCTTGGCTGCTTAGAAAGACCCAGGAGAATCCCCCCCCCCCGTGGTTCTATTCTATTCAGAACATTCTCCTTAGTTCCAGATAAAGTCTCCAAGATGGCCCCCACCATGCATGCTTTTCTATTCACCACAGGAGAGGAATCTTAAGTATCACAACCCACAGGAAGCCGAAGGAAAGACAGGTCCATTCAAATGTCCGTGCCAAAGATGCTCTGCCAAGGCAACCAGTGGGTCTAATCACCCACTCAAGTCCTGTGAGCAGTACTTCCAACAGACATTTCTGTGGAGGTCAAGTTACCCCATCATTGCCAAGAGGGAATTGTTTGATATCTTTTTTGGTATGAATTCAAATTCATCAAATATGATATGTTTTTGTGGTTTGCTATAAGAGGACCGGAGGAATGCTCAACTAGAGAATTCCAAAACTATTTGACACAGCGTGTTGTGGTCATAAAACGTAGCTGAGAAAAGGACACTTCCTTCTCTAACCACAACTTTTAAAAATAGGCAGCAAGTGCTATGCAGCCATTTTAGTTTTGTTAGGATACTGCCATCTCAGCAATCACTAGTACAAGTACAACAAAAGAACTATGAATTCTTTTAGACCTGAATCTCTTAGATAAAAGGTAAAACATAATGTATATGCATGTAGGGTGAGTTCTACGTTAGTACCCACTTAGAAATTTCCAATTTAGATTAATCTAAACCCACTGAAATCAACACATTTAAGTATGCCTGGCTCTCCGTAGGATATAAAATATATGGTATTTATTTTATTTATTTAAAATATAAACTCTCCAGGACCTAAGGCAAATTAGTTACATTTGTGGTTGACTTGGATTGCAAAGTTCCTTGTTACTTTGAAAACTTCAGCTGTTTTTAAAAAGTTGGTCCAGTAAACATTGGCACTATTTTTCCTCTTATAATTTATGAGCATCAAACTAGCAACAGGGCTGTACAACCAACCTTTTCTAAAAAAAAATTTTTTACTCCATGCAAAGCGTAACGATTATATACTTAAATTGAATTTTGGCTGCCAAAACTCAAATAAAGTTTTCTAGACAATCATAAATGTCAACTTTTGCTGTCTCCCATCCCTAAAAAAAAAGCATTTCACTTAACCTAGTCAACTGGCTATTGGCCAGGCTTCCACTATCAAACATTTGACAGTCAATTTTTCAGAAGACTTCCAATTTTACAGCCAATCCTAAAACAGCGCAACATAGCCTGAAACTGAACAATGTTGGTTTCTTAGCCCATGGGCATAATAAAAAAAACCTTACAGTCTTACCGGGGGTAATGATGATTGAATTAGCTTCTTTGATCATCTCAATAGCTTGATCAATTCCAATTTCAGTGTGTGTGCCAACTATTTCCATGGGCTTTCCGCCGGCTGTGGATGAAGTACCATATCCGCCCAAAATGACATTGGGCAAAGATCGGTTCATGGCCTTGGTAAGAAATAAACATAAATTGGGGGGGGAAAGGTCAAATGTCCACTGGAAGTCATCTCTTCCCACTCCCCACCCCAAAGCATGCCTCGTGTGTTATCCTCCTGTGTTATCATTCAATGATATGATCCAGCAAACACTGGTGTTATGAAACAGTCATTTGTTTTTCCTTGGCTTGTGGGGGATTCCCTCACCTTTTCCACTTCAATTACTCCCCAGTTTGGAAGCATTTAGCTCCCCAGCTTGGAAGCATGCTTGCTGCCTTGTCCTCTCATTCTAGAAGGTTCGTCTTAAGAAAGCTTTAAAGTCAATACTGTAATAGACTGGTAAGCTTTTAACTTATTTCCGTCTGGAAAATGAGGGCATTCTACTTGGCTTTTAGCACATACATATTGAGTAAAAGGTTCAAGGAGGAAACTCTTTGGTTCTTCTTCTGCCCCATACTTCTTGTCTTATCAGGAAGCTATTTATTTAGTACATTTTTATCCTTCCCTTCTCCCAAAGAGCTCAAGGTGGCAATCATAGTTCTTCCCTGTGAAATGAGATGAGGTTGAGAAAGAATGACTTGCCCAGGGTCTCTCAGTAAGTTTCATGGCAAGCAGAGATTTGATTCTGAGTCACCCTGGCCCTAGAAGTAACCAGCATGCTCAGATTATGAACATATATATCTTTTATGCACTGTCAACAACACATTTTTTTTCATGCCAGAGGATGCCACCATTTTTTAAAGTTTATCTTTGTTTTTTCAGTCATCCTAGCCATATTATCAAGGTATTATTTTAGGCCATTGACACAGCAACCTTGTTGAACCAAAACAGGGTTGGGACAGGAAAATGCCTGAATGGCAGACCTCCTTGGAACCTTAAATATGCCTCTGCCACCTTGAGTTCCACTAAAGAACAGAAAAGAAAAGAAGAAACGGAGAGAGTAGGGTTACCATCCCCCCAATGGGGGCGGGGTCTTCCCATTTTTGGGGGGCCCAATCCTCCGCTGCTCAGCTGGCCAGTGGGGGAGACCTGCCCCCGAGCAGCCCCATCCATGCTGACATGCCCAGCTCTATGACATCACCCGGAGGTGACATCATTGCACAGAGTATGTTGCGAGGGGACACTCTAGCATTTGAGAAAAACCTCTATGGTAACCATAGAGTTTTTTCTCAAATGCTAGAGCATCCCCCCACAATGTGCCCTGTGCGATGATGTCACCTCTGAAGGCTCCAGGAAGAAGACAAGAGCCCCCCTGCCAGAACTCAGTAAGGACCTGGCAACCCCATGGGAGAGACATAAAACGCAGCCCACAGCTCTACCCTTGAGAGAGCCCATGAGGCCCACCATGCATATTATTTGGCTTACCACACACATGATGTATGATAGAATAGCTCCAGAAGAACCAATTAAGGCACCCACAATAGTCATGAGATTGTTGTCAAGAAGGAAACCTTCTGCACACAAAGCCCATCCAGAGTAGCTGTTGAGCACGGTGATCACCACGGGCATATCTGCTCCACCGATAGCTGCAGTCAGGGTTACTCCCTGATCATTCGTATACAGCAAAGGGGAAAAAGGATCAAATGAGTTTGTAATCTTTAAAAAACCATTAAGATGAACATAAAATTTCATACAGCTGCAACTTAAAATCGAAAACTGTCCTTTATCATTTTGCTCTAGGAATGCCAACAAAGGTGTTGCTATGTACCTGCGTCTCTATGGTAAAAGCCCTTATACGCCTTGTATTGGCAACAGGAATGAGAACCAGTTCAATTTAATTCGGAAGTAGGACTGCAGGTAACCACCATGGGCAAAGATTCCCCAGGGACCACATTACCCTACAACATCCAACCCAAACATTTCATTAAACCAAGCATGTAATTTCCCCAGTTCCCTGGGTGCCTGGGGTGATCGTAGCCCCTAGAGCTTTGTCCCCCGGTCTCCCCTTCCAGTGGCCCTTATCAGAAGTGCCTACAAACACTGCACCCCCTCCAGGGTGAACTTTGTCACGTTACAACAAGTCAGTCAACATGGCCACGCTTCCACTGCTTTTAATGGCACTTCATGCTTAAACACCTCTCCATTCTCTAGTCATACCTGCTAGATTACTGAAACCTTCTCGTAGAACCACAGAATTGAGAGAAACCAAAAAGCCATCTAGTACAGCTTGCACTGTACAGTCATCTGCCACCGTCCCCAGTTGCGAGCTCTGCATTGGGAAATTCCTGGAGACTTGGGGGTATAAACTGAGGAGGCAAGGGGAGGGGCCTCAGCAGGCTGTAATGCCCTAGAGTCCACTCTCCAAAGCAGCCATTTCCACCAGGGAAATGGACCTCTGTCATCTGGATATCAGTTGTAATTTTGGGAGATCAGCAGGCCCTACCTGGAGGTCAGCAACCCTGTCTCCCAGTCCTTGCACAGCTACTAGATGTTTGGCAATAACAGGATTTCCAAAGCAGCTGATTAGGGTTGCCAAGTCTATCTTCGCCGGGAGCGGGGGGCTCCCGACCGGTGTCTTGTGCGCGCGCGTGCAAAGCGCACGTGCGCCCCATGCACGTCACCCAGAAGTAACGGGAGGACACCAGGCACGCTGGGGGCGGGGCCACGGCCATACAAGGGAAAACCGCTTCCCTTGTATGGCCATGCCCCCGCGTGCCCGGCGTGCCCGGCGTGCCCGCGTCACTTCCGGGGGACGCGCACGTCGGGGTGGAGTTCCCCTCGGGGCCCAATCTGGCGCCGCCGGGGAGCGGGCCTCTGGGGCGGGGGGGTCCCCGCCCCCCGGGGGGACTTGGGATCCCTAAAGCTGATATTTGTTGTTAGTTTTGATGGGTTTTGATATACATAAACCACCTTTCATTGGTGGCAAACAGCAGTCTAGAAATGTTAGAAGCAGACAGATAAATAATGAACAACAATGGCTGTTGCCTTCCTGGCAAACTTCTGTAAGCTTCCAGGCCAGTGCTGGAGTCCACACTGAACAAAACCAACCTTTGGTCTCATTTTGCAGGGATCATGCACTCTTCATACGTCCTTAAATATTTTCTGGTCTTCTTTCTCCTGGGAAGCCAGTATAGTGTAGTAGTTAAGTATGCAGACTCTAATCTGGGAGAACCGGGTTTGATTACCCACTTCTCCACTTGCACCTGCTGGATGACCTTGGGCAACCCATAGTTCTTTCAGAGCTGTTCTCTCAAGGACAGTTCTGAAAAGAGCTCTCTTAGCCCCACCTACCTCACAGGGTGTCTGTTGTGGGGAGGGGGAGGGGAAAGGAGTTTGTAAACCGCTCTGAGACTCCGAATGGAGGGCGGGGTATAAATTCAATCTCCTCCTCTTCCTCTTCTTCTTGACTCTCTCTTTCTCTCTCTCTCCCAGTTTGTTGCTATCATCAAAGCTCTTCCTCATAGTTTTGGGGGTTGTTTTGTAACAAATTGAAGCCTTCTTTGCCTCTCACTCCGCTTTACATGCTGCCGCCCTTCCTAAAGTCCCTTATCTGATGCCCATAAGCATCACAGACCTCGTTGCCTCTGTGCCAAGCTGCTCCTTGTGCCTGGAATTCCCTCTCCATCATTAATCCTTCAACCAATGCCCTGCTTCATAACCACCACAGCAGCCTCCTCACCTCTTCCCAATTAACCCTCCTCCTCCCCACTCTCTTTCCAATACGATCTTATCCCAGGTCAGAACTTTGGCATCAAAGCTTCTCAAGTAGGCCTGCTAAATGGATTTTTAAAAACTGAGTGGTGGCGGCAGGAAGTGCTGTCCAATCACAGCCGACTTATGACAGCAACCACTGCAATGTCCCCTACATAGGGTTTTCAAGGCAAGAGAGATTCAGAGGTGGTTTGCCGTGGCCTGCCTCCACGTCACACCCCTGGACTTCCTTGGTGGTCTCCCATCCAAGTACTAACCAGGGCCAACCCTCCTTAGTTTTTGGGATCTGTTGTGTCTGCTGACCGCCACCGGGGGCCAGCGAATATCCCAGAGCTTGACTCTGGGAGAACAATGGGGACTAGGCTCCTAGTCCCTCCATTGGGGGACCAATGGGAACCGTGGTGGGAGATTCAAACCCACCAACGGGACCCAGGGGTGTGTCCCCAAGGGTGTATATAGTTGGCCAGCTGGCCATTAGAGTCAGTTCGTGTTGTGTACTAATAAAGCGTGCTATGCACTATGCCAGTCTTTGTTCTTTGTCCATGCGGCTAACCCACTACACAATAGGATCTGCGAAGATCAGGCCAGTCTGGGCCATCCTGGTCAGGACAACTGGGAATTCAGCCAGAGGAACTTCTACATGCAAGGATGAGCACTCAAGTCTTGTGCAATAGTTTTGGGAATGCAGGTTCTATAATGTCTAAAGAGGGACACATGCAAGTTATATAAAGGCGCTGAAGCCTGTGTATACATGCGAAAGCATGCTGCTCCTAGCTCCCCTTTTGAAACTATAATCCTCACACAACAGCGGAAGTCAAGAACTAGTGAGTCTTACAATGTCTCCGCTGAGCCTCATCCATCCCAGCCCCTTTACTTCTGAGGCTGGGCCATCCTATTAAGGACCCAATAACATGTGACACCCAGTTGGGTATTATAGTTTGTCCCCAACTTTTTTGTTCTTTGACAGAATACAGCAGTGGAAGCTACAAACTAATACATGTTATTGCTTACTATTTTTTTTAAAAAAAATCCCTCCCCTGCTTTTTGTCTTGCAGTGGGAAAGATACAGGTATCAATGTGTCTTTGTTTATGTACATGGGAACTCAGGGATCTTTGCATCTTGCAGGAATGGGCCCCCAAAAAACATATCTTCCCCATGCCAGTTCATAGTATCTCTCTCTCTCTCCAGTTCATAGTCTTGGATTACATAAAACGTCGGACCGATTAAACCAATAGCTTATTTTACTACATTGCCCACAGCTAAAGAGTTTTGGAACCCTGCGCATGTGGTTTGTGGGATCCTGCAGGGGTTCCGCTGGATTTGTTATGGAATTTCAATAGAGCTGCACAAATATTTTGAAGGAGGCTTTGCAGAGCCCTCAGAACCGGCCCAGTTTTAGCCCCTGCAGCTGCATCTTGCTGTTGTTTAGGGGAAGCTGGATATAGACTGCCTTATTTGAAACTCAATTAGGTGACACCACTTTTGCTGGTGGTCCAGTAAAAGATATTGTTTTACCTATTTTATATTTCATATACACAACAGGTAAAACGAGATGGTTTATTGGGCCCACCAACAAAACAAACTCTTTTTTCCTCCTCAGGGTCAGAGTCAAGGTAGAGTCACCATCTATCCTCGATTATCATGTTTGTGTGCAACAATCGGACTATATTGTTTATTTTTATTTATCTACTAAATTTATATCTGCCCTAACCTGCATGGCCCAGGCTAGTCTATGGTTGCTAGGTCCCTCCTGGCAACCAGCAGGGGATGGGGGGCTTACAAAGAGAAAAAGAAGGCTCTAAGCCTCATTGCCAGTGTCGCATAGTAGAAGAAGAAGAAGAAGAAGAAGAAGAAGAAGAAGAAGAAGAAGAAGAAGAAGAAGAAGAAGAAGAAGAAGAAGAGGAGGAGGAGGAGGAGGAGCAAACTCCTTTCCCTTCCCCTCCCCACAACAGACACCCTGTGAGGTGGGTGGGGCTCAGAGAACTTTGACACAAACTGCTCTTTTTCAAGGACAGCTGTGCCAGAGCTTGTGACTTACCCAAGGTCATATCAGCAGGTGCAAGTGGAGGAGTGGGGAATCAAACCCGGTTCTCCCAGATTAGAGTCCGCACACTTAACCACTACACCAAACTGGCTCTCAAGGAAGTGACATCAACACATCAGCAACATCCAGGTGACTCTCTGGTATTTGGGCAAAACCTCTATGGTAAAACCAGCTTCTACCATAGAGTTTTTGCCCAAATACCAGTGTCACCTTGACAATGTGGGTGTGATGATGTCACTTCCTGTGTGATGCCAGCAATGAGGCCTAGGCCCTCTCCTTTCTCCCAGTAAGTCCCCCCGGCCAACCAGCTGATTGGTGCTTAGGGGTCGGGCCTGTCAGTGGGGGACCCCCTCTTTTACTGGGGGTCTGGCAACCAGTGTTCCCTCTAAGCTGAGTTAGTGTGAGCTAGCTCACAGTTTTTTAGCTTCCGGCTCACATATTTTTGTCTTAGCTCAGGAAGGATGGCTCCAAAGCAAACTGATTTATGCCATAGCCAAACTGCTTGCTCACAACTTTAATGCCAGTAGCTCACAAAGCAGAGTTTTTGCTCACAAGATTCCACAGCTTAGAGGGAACACTGCTGGCAACCCTAGGCTAGCCTGATGTTGTCAGATCTCAGAAGCTAAGAAGAGCAGAAGAAGAAGAGTTGGTTTTTATAATCCGCTCTTCTCTACCCTAAGGAGTCTCAAAAAGATTACAATCACCTTCCCTTCCTGTCCCCACAACAGACACTTTGTGAGGTAGGTGGGACTGAGAGAGTTCTGAGAGAACTGTGACTGACTCAAGGTCACCCAGCAGGCTTCACGTGGAGGACTGGGGAATCAAATCCAATTGTCCAGATTAGAGTCTGCCACTCTTAACCACTACACCACGCTCTGACTAGTATACCACCAAGCAGGGATGGCCCCAGTTAGTACTTGGATAGGAGACCACCAAGGAAGTCCAGGGTTGCTATGTGGATGTAGGTCTCCCTTCCAAATCCTGACCAGGGCCCACCATGCTTAGTTTCCGAGATCTGACGAGATTGGGCTAGCCTGGCTATCCAGGTCAGGGGTGACACTCTTAACACCACCAAATTTATACCTGGCCTTCCAGGGCTAACAGACCCACAAGGCCATTCCTCATATCCGCCAATGTTCCATTATTTCACAACTCCAACTGGCAAAAACACATTCAGGCAAAGGAAATCTGAACTGGAGGCTGAAAAGTCAGTCAATTCAGAGAGACAGCTTGATAAAGATTCTTCGCTACGCTCCCCTGACCTGCCAAAAGCAGCACCAGGCAAACCTAACAAAATCTGGACATGGAGGGTGTGTTCTTCAGTTCCAGCTCAAGGTTGCTTGAGGTCAGTGAAGCCAAAGCTAGAAGCCTGAGCCGGTTTCTGAGGGGCAAGAGGCTTTTTAGGTAAAGAAAGAAGTCCAGGCTCCTATTACTGATATGATGCCTAGCTAATCCTGATGCTTGATGTTAAGTCGCTCACTTAACAAAGAAGTCGGAGAGTGATTCAGCAAGAACACAGCTTTTTTGTTCAACTCGAACACAACTCCAACACGGATCAACATCTGATAGCCAGAACAGCCATTACATTGCAGCTGTCCTGCTTTTAAACATTCCCGGTTAATGTAGCCACACTCACTGTACAAATACCAACCAATAAGGTTGTTCACATAAGGACCAATCACGGATGTTCCCGCTCAGGGAGCTTGCTTGAAAGTGATTGGTTAGGTGCTTCCTGGGCTAGTAACACGATTGGATGGATTTGGATCCTAGCCCAGGACGAAGCTTTACATTACAAGTCAATTAGATGTTTCACAACATATCATGCATTCAAGGCAGCTTTGAATACACTACACTTGATATTGTCCACCAAAGAATTACAGTTACTAACATGGCATGCCCCAATTCCTTCATCACGTAAAAACACCTCCAAATCTGGGGAACCACACACTTGTAGACATTAATTCTAGACTGCATGCTCAGCCAAAGGCGCCCCAGATCCCTAGAAATGTCCCAGCCACAGACCAAGACTTGTGTTCCAGCCCGCAGTGTCCCTGACACCAGGCTCCTGGAAAAATGACTGGAATGATTCTGCTAGTCTGTGGGTCCCCAACCTTGTTGAGCATGTGAGCCCTTTTGGGGATTTTGCAAACATGTAGTGGAAGCCACCACAAAAAGGCTGCCAAGCGGATGGGACAAATCACAAAATAGCTGCCAGGGAGATGAGGTCAAAATGAAATATAGGAAGGTTCCATCCCAAGCATCCTATTGCAATGGGGGCAGCTGCTTCTAAACCGATGCTTCCTGCAGACACAAAGGTGATGCCAACCTCTAGGTGGGACCTGGAGTTCTCCTGGAATTACAACTGATCTCCAGGCAACAGAAATCAGTCTCCCTGGAGAAAATGGCTGCTTTAGAGGGTGGGCTGTATGGCATTGTATTGTGCTGAGGTCCCTCCCCTCCCCTCCCCAAACCCCGCCCTCCCTAGGCTGTATCCCCAAATATCCATGGAATTTCCCAAAACAGAGAGGGCAACCATAGAAGAGAGGCGTTTAGAAAGAAGCACCAGGAAAAACATTGGTGACCCCCACCATGTTTGGTTATACCCATGACCTACGAGGAATAGGGTTGCCAACTCCAGTTTGGCAAATCCCTGGAGATTTGGGGGCAGTACCAGGGAGGGTGGAGTCTGAGGAGGGGGAGGAGCTCAGCAGGGATGCAACGGCGTAGAGTCCAGCCTCTAAAGATGCCATCTGCTTTAGGGGAACCGATCTTTGTTGTCTGGAAATCCGGTGGCAATTCTGGGAGAACCCCAGGCCCCACCTCCAGGATCCATCCCGACTCTACTCCTTCTCCATTGGGGGAAGGGGGGGGACAGACAGTACTTCTTTAGACCAAAAACTTGTCATACCATGATTGAGGAGAGTCCTGAGACACCGAGAAGGCAAGCCATGCCTGTAGTATAGCTTGGGTCCAGCATAAAAAGAATCATCCCACCTGCTGAGGCTGCCAACAAGCCACCGTTCAAATAATGGCGTCCGGGCAGCATGAGAGGCGCCGAGTTTAATAAACCTAGAACAAAGTACCAGGGTTTAAATAGCCACTGCATTCCTATTTAAACGCTAAACACATTGCTGATCTATATGCATCCCCCACCCACACCCTTCTTGTTTCCACCATCCAAACGTTAGAATTTCTTTCCACTTCAACGGAACGGTAGCCCTTGCTAAATATATTAGCCCTAAATGTAACACATATAAAAACATTAGTAGATGAATAAATGCACATATTTGGAGCTTCCTAGATTTCTTGTTAATTCTCTGGTCTTCAGGTCGCATCTGCTAATGGCCTGAACTCTCCATAGAAGCTAAAATGACTAAAATGAAGCTATCGTACATTGGTCACATTATGAGAAGACCAGAGACTTTCTGGAAAAAATAATAATACTTGGAAAAGTTGAAGGCAGCAGGAAAAGAGGAAGACCCAGCACTAGATAGATGGATTCAGCGGGCCTCAGTTTGCAAGACCTGAGCCAGGCAGTTAACAGTAGGACATTTTGGGGGGGGTCATTAAGTCATAGGGTCATCATAAGTTGGAAGCAACGACAGCATTTAACACACACATGTAGTCTTTAAATAGGGTTGCCAGCCTCTGTGTGGGGCTTGGAGTTCTTCCAAACCACAGGGATCAGTTCCCCTGGAGGAAATGGCAGTTTTGGAGGGCGGCAGACTCTATGCAATCCCCACCTGAGCTCCCCCCCCCCAAAAAAATGCTGCCCTCTCCATGCACCACTCCCAAATCTCCAGGAGTTCCCCAGGCCAGAGCTGGCAAACCTAGTCCTTAAACTATTGCCAGACATGATGGTTAAGACCAAGATGAAAAACCAGTGAGGGGAGAAGACGGAAGGACCCGGCTGCTCCTTTAAGTGGTGCCTCTTCTGCCCTTTCAGCCAGCAGAATTTTGCCCCTACAGGAGGAGGTAGGTGGATGAAACCGTGTGTAGAGAAGAGGATTGCCAGGTCCCCTGGTCAGTCTGGCGGAGGGATTGGGGGGGTGTCTGGGGTGGGTGGGGATGCCCCCAAGCCTTGCCCCCAACCCGCGGCCACCCCTCTCCCTCCCTGCTAAAAGATTTAAAGGGCCTCAGCTGATCGGTGGGGAGCACGTGGCGTGCTGACCTGCTGAAGGGCCCTTTAAACCTTTTAGCAGGGAGGGAGAGGGGCTTTCACTGGTCACAGCTCCATTCCCAGATATTGTGCTATCGCAATAATTAACAACTGTGAGTTATTTGTGTGGTCAAAGCCAATGTTCCCTCTAAGCTGTGGAGTCTTGTGAGCAAAAATTCTACTTTGTGAGCTGCCGGCATTAAAGTTGTGAGCGAGCCATTTGGCTGCTGCATAATTTGCTCTGGTGCCATCCTTCCTGAGCTAAGACCAAAATGTGTGAGCCTGAGGCTAAAGAAAAGTGGGCTAGCTCACACTAACTCAGCTTAGAGGGAACACTGGTCAAGGCAATCTAGTTGCAAATTTTTGCGATAACTCAATAGCCAAGTCATGTCTGGATGCAACTTGGGAGACTTGTCTGGATGCAACCTGGGGGGCGTGGTGCATGCAGGGCTCCTTTCCCAGCGGCAATTTGCTACTTGGGATTCAGGCCCCCGCGCCACCATCCCAGGAAGTATGGTGGCGATGTTGGCCTTATCAGAGACCATTGTTAAACACTACAGACGGAATTAATTCCTTCTTACGCTCCGCTCAGCAGGCCCAAAAGAAGGATCTTTCAGTACACCTTTTATGGCTGCAATTTCCCAAATCTAGTCATTCTTCACAGAAGTGATCCTGCAGCTCTCTAACCCACAATTTCTGATGTGATTGTTCCCTATGCCTTAAGAGTTAAAAGTAATTCTAAATCTGAAAGATCACACAAACTGGATTCCCATGTCAGTAACATCATTAGGAACATATTGCTCAGTCACTGATCCCAAGCTCCAATATAAATTGTGATCCTTGTAACATTTCTGTCTGGTAGGTCAAACTAAGAAACAATGACTGGCTCAAAGTCTCCCAGGTTGCATCCAGACATGACTTGGCTATTGAGTTATTGCAAAAATTTGCAACTAGATTGCCTTGACCACACGAATAACCCACAGTTGTTAATTATTGCTATAGCACAATATCTGACGAGCTGTGAATGCCGCTTCGGTGAGCTTTATTACTGAACAGGAATTTGAAACAAGGTCTTCCCCTCAGTCTAAACTCAATGCTCTATCCATTACACTACATTTACTTTTACGTACTCAATATAAAGCCATTTGTAATATCGTGGCACTGCATTGGCTCTGTATTTAATTTGCTCCTAAATTATTTACTAGTTCAGCAAGTCTTGGGATTAAGCCATGAGATTTTCAAATGTTTGTTGCTTTTCTTTTAAAGGTTGGCACCAATACTTCTGGGAATTCACTGTGAACAAAGTTCCTAACTCTTTGGCAATCTTAGCAGTATCTTTTTGGATCTTTTTGGGTCTAAACTGGAGAACATACCTTGCAGTTTTCCATACGCCACCAAAGAACCACTGAATGTTACTCCCCCAATATAGGTGCCCAAATAAGCCACGGTTTTGAGAACATTGGCAGAAGGATGAATGTCAAGGTGTGGATATTCGATCATGTACTCTGCAACGCACGTCAGAACAGCTGCCAAGCCGACCAGACTGTGAAATGCAGCAACAAGCTGTGGAAGGTCAGAGATTTCAATCCGTTTCGCAATGGTGAGACCTGCAAAAAAAAATTTTGAATTGATTTAGATCCAAGATTAAAAATGTTATATTGTATTTCATACCCTCTCCAAAAGCATAAACAGCCAGTTAAATAACAAAGGGCTGTTTACTTTCTTGGGTTATTTTCATTTTTTGTGCAAAGGCAGAAGAATTTATGAACAGCTCTGTTGGATCAGAACAAAGCCTCTTCTAGTCCAGCATCCTGTTTCCCACAGTGACTGGCCAGATACTTCCGGGAGCGAGCAAGACACGAAGACAACAGCCTCGTAGCTGGAATGTTAGACTAAGATCTAGGAGATCCAGGTTTGACTCCCCGCACATGCCATGGAAGCTTGCTGGGTGAACTTGGGCCAGACACACACTCTCAACCTAGCCTACCTCGCAGGGTTCATTCAAAGACAAAGGCCACCATATCTTGTGGCAACAGATTACATAAACTGATTATACGTCGAATGAAAAAAAGTACTCTGTTTTGTCCTGTCCTGAATCAACTGCTAATCCAGTTCTATTGAGTGGCCCCAAGCTCTAGCATTATGAGAGACACTTTCCCCAACCCATGCATAATATGAAACACAGAGGGAAATTATAACCTCATTTTAAGTCTCTTCCAAAAATACATCACAAGGACCTTTCATGGCAATCACATCTAAAGACAAACATGAGCAAACATGGGACCAAGTCACAGCCGCACCAGAGGAGGGGTGTGTGCATGGCCTGTGGACACAGAAGTCACAAGTCCCAGATGCATTATGATTGCAGGCCACATGAAACGAAAACATGTCGGCAGAATAGCAGATGGGGGGGGGCATATGATTGTCAACTTCCAGGTGAATCCTGGAGTTCTTCCAGAATTACAACTGATCTCCAGACTACAGAGCTCAGTTCCTCTAGTAAATTAAAATTTGTGGCAGGGTAGGAGCTTTTGTGAGTCACTGCTCATTTCTTCAGATACAGCTAGAATGTCAGTCCATCTGTCCCATATATTGGAAAGTGGAGTGGTTTCAGGTGCCAAATGACATTGGCAGGCAAATGACAATAGCAGGTGTTGTCTGCCAGATATGTAATGAATATGGCTAAATATTTGACCTATCTGGATGTGCCACCCTATAGAAGAGCTCTTACCCTGGCTCATTGTGCAGCTATTCCCTCTAAGGTTCTAGAGGGAAAATATAGAAAGATACCATATGAAGACAGGTGCAGCCCATGTTCTATGGGAGAAGTGGAATCGATGCTCCACGTGTTTTTTTTTTGCTGTCCTTTTCATCAAGTAGTCTATAGGGATAGGCTTATTGCACCCCTCTTAAATAGACCAGCACTTGACACAGAAAGTGCTGAACTAGAGAGACTTTTTGGTAGGAAAAAATCAGCAAATTTCCAGACAAACAGCAAGATTTTGCTTGCAACTGGTAAAATTCCACAATAAAGAAGCAGATCAAGTATAACACTCACTTACCTTTTGCATGACTCATAATTAGTTTTATTTTGATATAATGTATTTTTAAACTCTTCTCCTCTTAACATTTTAATGGTTTTAAGGTTATATGTTTAAATATGTCGAAATACTTTTGGAGCTGAAAGTTAGATTGCTTGTATTTAACGAATATGTATTATTTTGATAAATGATCCTTGACTGCAAATAAACATCATTCAATAGCAGGTGTGATTGGATTAGGTGTGATATGCAGAGAGGTAATAGGCATGGAGAAATCAGTGTTGGTAATGAGACAGGAAACCTAGGTCTCTGTTCAATCCAGGTGGATGCATTGTCTTGAGCAGGGCTCTAGTCGGGGGGGAGCTCTCAGGTACGGAGCTCCGGAAGAAAACCTCTAGGGGGCGGGGCGGTCACGTGGTGAAGCCCCGCCCCCTTCTTTACCCCGCCCTCTGCTTCGATCCTCATTCCGTTTGGGAATGAGGATGAAGCAGAAGGGTAAGTAGCCGGGCCTTCTGACACACTTCCGGTGATGTCAGGGGGTGTGGCCTTCTGTCGCTTCTGGTGATGTCAGGGGGCGTGGCATATGCAAATAAGTTATGCTAATGAGTTATGCTAATGAGCTCCGGCAGCTCTTTTTCTACAACAAGACCCCTGGTCTTGAGCTTCCTTATCACTTGCAATTCAGCAGTCTCTCTAATCTCCCTTTGAAATTCCTTTCTAAGAGAACTACTACTTTTAGGTCAGCAACTGAATGTCCTGGGAGGTTAAGATGTCCCCCCACTGGTTTTTGAATGTTGCGATTTCTGATGTCAGACATATGTCCATTAATTCTTTGTTGAAAGGACTGGCCTGTTTGTCCAATGTAGAGGGTGGAAGGGCAAAGATAAAACGTTAGCTTCAGAAGGTGGACTCCACGGCATCATGTCCCTGTCAAGATCCATCCCTTCTCCCAAATTCCACCCTCGCCAGGCATCAACACCAAAGCCCAGGAATTTCCCAGCCCAGAATTGGTAATCCTAAATCACTGATTTTTTAAACTGTGTTCTGGGGTAGCTTATCAGGGGCTCCTTAATGAGCACATAACAAGCGTCTGTGAAAAACAGCTTGCCCAGCATGCCCCTGCAATGGGCAGTCTCAGGAAAAAGTTGGCTAAGACTTGGTAATAATTCCAGATGGGTAATTGTGTTGGTGCGTTGTAACAAAATAAAACGGAAGTCCAGTAGCACCAAGTATAAATAACTGCTAAGGATGTACACCCCCATGCCTCTGACAAAGTGAACTGCAACTTAGGAGTCTTTTAGGTGCCACGGGACTCCTGCTTTGATCCAGTATGTCTTGGGGGGGGGGGTCTATGTAGTTCATAGGGATGCCAGCCTCCATGTGGGAACTGGGGATCCCCCAGAACTGCAACTAGTCTCCAGACTGAGTTCCCCTGGAGAAAATAGATGCTCCGGAATGTAGACTCTGAGGTCCCTGTCCTCCCCAGGCTCTATCCCCAAATCTCCAGCAGTTTCCCAACCTGGATCTGGCCACCCTACCCCTCCATGGCCACCAGTGACCAGGATGGACCCAGCAACTTACTGGTGACTTTACATAATAAACTTTACATAAGATGACTCAGAACTAGAACTGGCCAAGCATGACCTGGGAGTGCTTTAACCTACAACACTTCCCAGAATGCTCTACAATGAATGTACAGAGGTTCCTCCATGGATAAGCTGAGATAAACAGCACTACTGACTCACCAGTAATTCCATCTACTTTTAGAGGAGGTACAAAAGCCCAGCCCTGACCTGGATGGCCCAGGCGAGTCCAATCTCGTCAGATCTCAGAAGCTAAACAGAGTCATCCCTGGTTATTATTTGGCTGGGAGACCACCTTGGAAGTCCTGGGTCACTATGCAGAGTAAGGCAATGGCAAGCCATTCAGCCCTGACGAGGTTTTTTGGCCACATGATCTCAAATTCTTCAAAAGATACTTGCCTGCAGAGCATGACCTTGTCATTTGGAAGTAGCTACTTCCCTCAGAATAAATCCCATGAGGCCCATGAGTTCAAATCCTGTTCTTTGACTTCACACAGTGCACATAAACTTATGGAATTTACCAGTTCACAGTGGTGTGCTAGCCACTAGATTTGATCACTTAAAGAACATTAGATCTTTTCCCCCCATTTGTATGGAGACTTAATTCATGTACCCTAATCCAATTATGTGATGCATTCAGAGGTCATTTCGGGGGAAAACGCGGGGGAACGCAGTTCCCCCGGGTGAGGTGCAGGGGGCGGGGCACATGACAAAGCCCCGCCCCCTGCTTCCGGCCGCCCCGCTTCCAGCCCTCATTCAGCCAGGAGGCAGGAGAAGAGGGAGGGTAATTTCTGCTTATTTTTATTCCTTTGAAATTACAAAGAACACCTGTTCTGTGTGTCTATCAGACTGGGCTGATGTTCCATGCGCTTGCTGGTAACTGAAGCCTTGTTCAAAAGTTACAGCGAATGCACATACAATATTTGTACAGTGTACACTTGACTTTTTAAAAATACAAACTACACACTAATCCAAGTATTGGACCCTGGTTTCAGCTGCAAAGTGAACATGCTTGGCTCTTTCTTATGAACAGATATGTGCAGATCCCTGCAGGATATGTGTGTGTTCACCGTAACATGTGACCAGGCTAGTTTCTTGGAATTGTCTGCCGGGGGTGGTGGAGAGCTAGGTTTCTGACTGACTTCTGAAGGTGCACAATGGAAAGCTGAACTTGATCCCCCACAGGCAGCTTTTTTACATGTCGGTGCCAATGTAGGGCTAAACACAGAAAAAAGCAAAACAATTCCTAAGCATGCTTGGAAGGATTGGCCTCTGTCGGTATGGTATAAGCTTCCTTTATTTCCTCTCCTATTTACATTTACTGATGTATGCAATGCTTTCTTTCCCCCAAGCTAAAAACTCAGTATGGATGTGCTACTGTTGGTTTGTGAGGTGTAAAAGGATAACCAGGAAAATGACTTAATCAGTTTTGTAGTTACCAACTGGCAAATACAGATCCTGATTAAAAGTCTTCCTGTGTTCTCCCGTGTAAATCATATGTATCTGTATCACTGTTTTGTGATTCCTCTTAAAACAAGAGTGCCATCTCTTGGCCTTCTACATCCCAAATGAAGGTTGAGGACTCACTAATGCTGTGGTCTTCAGCCCCTGGGTTGGGACCCTTGAGAGATTTGTAGCCCTACCTGCTGGGTCACAAACCCCTCTAGGAACAGCCAATTTATTTGGGGTTTTTTTTGCTGGCTTCTGGGTAGGGTTGCCAGGTCTGGGTTGGGAAATATCTGGAGACTTTGGGGGTGGAGCCAGGAGAGGGCGGAGTTTGGGGAGGGGAGGGGCCTCAGCATGGTACAAAGCCATAGAGTCCACCCTTCAAAGCAGCCATTTTCTCCAGGGGAGCTTATCTCAGTCAGCTGGCGATCACTTCTAAAAGCGGGAGATCCCCAGGCCCCACCTGGAGTTTGGCAACCCTACGTCTGGAAGGAATTGCTGCTACTATGCATGCACACAGAGCAAGTGCACCATGGCTCCTGCTTCTTTTTTGCATGCAATGCTGAAAGGGCAGCAGATGGTCACTCAGTGGTGGAATGGTGTTTGGTTGCTACTTCCTGTCCCTAGATCTCTGGTCTGCTGCCCACAGTCCCGGCTTTGACACCAGAAAAGTCATAATTCTGATGCCCTTTCCCCCTGCCACATGCTTGCATCTCTGTGGGTCCTGGAGCCTCGAAAGGTTGAAGACCACTGCACTCATAGACCACTGAATTTGTGGATGAAGATATTATATTACCAACAGTGAATGTTAGGGACATTGCAGTGTAGCACAAAACACAGTTCACAGGGATGGAATAGAGAGATGTGTCATGAACAAACAACAAAGATCTACTAGTGTTTTCTTCATTAAAAATAATTAGTTATTTTGTCAGCACATTCAAAATGTATATTAATCAGTTAATTAGGGCCAGTACAGATGTTACTACAGCTTCAGTAAAATTTGGATGCAGCAATCACATGAACAAGGTTTCTCTATCCAGAACATCGCTTTCCCCCCGGGCCAGGTAACGTTTGCATAGCAACGGGACCCACAGATCCAAATGTAAAGGTAACACAAAAGGGAAAACATACCTTTGAAATCCTATAGAGGAAATGCCACTGGAACAATGATTTGGGTGAGGGAAGTGATGGATGAAGCACATTAAGCACATGTATGTGCCTACATACCAAGAGAGTCTTCTCTCCCAAATGCCCCTACTAAAGGAGGATTCACCCTGTTTTAAAATAAGTGGGATCCCACTACATGTATTCCCATGCTATCTGTAGTTTGGACCACAGTCATCAACTGCCAAGTTGTTCCATCCAAGTATTACACTTCATGGGAAATGAAATGCAGAAATAGAAATAGGGGAGAGGTGGCACAGGGGATTTATCCTCTAGTTAACATCTGAACTGAACAGAGCTGCTGTCAGTTCTAGCCTTGTGCTGGTGTAAGCTACCAGCCTTGTCCCCAGCTCGCCGTCCACCCGGCAGTTCGAAAGCTTCGGCGAGTAGATAAAATGGGTACCACTCCTTAGAGAGGGTAGGCACACTAACCCCCCGGTGGGGGAGGTGTTAGCCAACGAATGGAATGTCCAGCGCGTAAGACCGAAAAGCCTAGAAAGAACTCTTCGGCATTAAGGAAGCCTGTAATGGGCTGTCCAGACAGGCGGTGGCAGTGCTGCGCTGCAACTTGAAGCAGTCCGGAGAAAGCTGACGACATCAAGCCATGCAGAGGGAAAAATGCCTTTGGAACACGTCTGACTTTACAGCTGAACAAAACTCCCCATCGGCTGTGAACGTGTGTGATTTAAAGATTATATGTTGTCCTCCCTTACCCCTTGAATCATTGTTAGTCCTGTGTGTAATGGAGTAACTATAAATCGCTAAGAGCCAGCAAGCTCTGCAGGACTGAGCGATTAATAAATTGAAAGTTTTATTATTATTATTTATTATTAACTAGAAGAAAACCACAATGTTTCTGAAACTTTCCAGTGGCTCCCGACACTACACTGAGCAAAGTTTGAAGCCATTTGAAGCCAAAGTTTGAATGGAGGAAGAGCCATTTAAAGTCGGAGGAAGGCTGGAAGAAGTCTTCAGAGTTTTCTTAGTGGAGTAATAGGATCAAACCCCACCCCCACCCCCAAATTGCTGAGTATGAGTCTGGCACATTGTAGGATGCATACTGAGGGCTAAACTATATGATATGCTTTTCTCTTTTTTTACAATTTGTCTCCAGGTTCACCACTCTGATCAGAGTCTCATGTCAGCTCCAAGAAGGTCACTTGAAAAACCCGAGATTCTGCTTCCAGGTTGTCCTCCAGAAGGGGTTACCACATCTGTGATGCCCCCCCTCCCCACAAGCTTCTAAGTTGGCATTAATGAGACCACATCTATATATCTAATAGCCAAGTTGCCCCCGGAGTGCGGATCGCTAAATCAGCACTCCGGGGGCACCTGGGGGGGAGGGGGAGGTTTGTGCACATGTGGGCCAATCCCCACGTGTGCACAAAAATGCTAAAAGTAGAAAAAAATTTCAGGGGGATGTTTAAATCCCCCCCAAAGTGCAAGAGCGTTCCGTGTGCATGCGCACGGAATGCTCTGTAGCTGACCTCGCCGCTGCCAAGCCCGGCAAGGGGGGGGAAAGGACCGGCCTCGCCGCCGCCGCCGCCTTGGAGCCGGGCGGGGGGGAGGACCGGCCTCGCCGCAGCCACCGCCTCCTCAGGGAGATCAAGCGGGGGGGGGGATGGAGGAGACGGAGCTCTTCCCCCCCACCGTGAGTATCGCGGGTCCCCGTCTTGTGTATAACTAAATGACCACATGCCTTAGAACACACTGAAACAACATTGTTATCTGCACACAGGAGTGGTCTGCCATTGTTGATATTTTCACTGAAGAAGAAGAAGAGTTGGTTTTATACCCTGCCCTTCACTACCCGAAGGAGTCTCAGAACAGCTTACAATCTCCTTCCCTTCCTCTCGCCACAACAGACACCCTGTGAAGCAGGTGGGGCTGAGAGAACTGTGACTGACCCAAGGTCACACAGTTGGCTTTATGTGGAGGAGTAGGGAATCAAACCCGGTTCTCCAGATTAGAGTCCGCTGCTCTTAACCACTACACCAAACTGGATCTGAGAAGACACTGGAAGGTTCCAAAAGAACAGGGATGGAAACTGGCCTAGTGCAAGGCAGTGAACTTACCCATCGTGCCTCCCATTGCCATGGCTGTCGACATTTGGGCCAGTAGTTCAGGTGATGGTTTCAAAGCACCCAAAGTAGCTGCAATGCCACCAGCAACCCCGATCATCCCTAGAGCATTGCCAAGTCTAGACGTTTTCTGGCTAGACAGCCCTGCGAGTGCACCGACACAGCAAAGACCTGAGCCCAGATACATCATCTGAGTTGGGGGAAACAAAGCAAAGGATGTGTATGTACACAAGTTAAGGAAACATTTCAGAATGCACACAAGCTAAAAGGGGCAGTAAGATGACTGTGACTCACTGAGCTGAAACACAAGGTGTGCATAGATCAAGATGGGTAGCCGTGTTAGTCTGTCTGTAGCAGTAGAAAAGAGTAGGAGTCCAGTAAGTGCCTTAAAAACAAACAAAACTTGTGGCAGGGTATGAGCTTTCATGAAGAAGTGAGCAGTGACTCACAACAGCTCGTACCCTACCACGAGTTTTGTTAGTCTTTAAGGTGCTACTGGACTCTCACGCTTTTCTAAAATGTGCATAGTAACAGACACTTGGGGAGATGAGATATGTTCCTTGATGCACTTTTGAGGATCCACATCTCTTGAAGCCTGTCTGGTCTTCAGCAGCTGAGGAGCATCAGGAAGAGAGCTGTGATAGAGAAAGCATCTGAAGGCTACAATGTGATCCTGGGAATCAGGAACTATATGGGGACCAGATAGGATTATCCTGGGCTGGGCTGGGCTGAACCCATGAATTACCAATAGCTTATAGCCACTCTAAGATATTTAGAGTTCCAGTTCAAGCTGGTAAAGGTAACATTTCATTTTTCACTTAGGCAACAGTAACTTGAAAACACCAAAATTGTCTTCTGATGTGCACTACCTTTATTATGACTCTTCACACTCAGAGTAAATTTGGCTAAAGCCTCTGAGTTCAGCATATATCTTGGAATACTTTTGTTACTATTCTGAGTTCTGCAATTTTCTTGTCTCTAAGCTTCCAAAGATCTCCCATTTGCAGTCTTCAAACATATATGCAAGGATGGATAACTGGGAAAAGGCTTAGCTTTTTCTATTCCCTCGGGGGAAAGTAACAAAGGAAGAATCAGTTAGCTCAGGATTAAAGTCACTTAGAAGAACTATTCCTGATAGATTTATTACTTTCTCTTCTACTCTGAATGCAGTTTTAATGGCTTTTAACCAGCTTTATGTGAGGAAGAATTGCATTTTCTTTCCAGGCTACTAGTTCAAACACATTTTAAAAATGCCCACATCATGAGATCATTCCATCAGATTTTGCTGTTACTTTGATTCTTTAGTGTTTTGATATACCAAGGGGCTTTGAAATCCCTACATGACAATGCATTTATATACAACATGTGGTGTTCTCCCTCCAGTCTGAAAAGCATATGCTATTTTATTTCTAATCACAAAGGTTCTACATTACCTCTTTTTTTGGGGGGGGTACACTACTAAATTTGTAACAGTTGATAAGCATGAATACCTCAAAAATGTTTTCATAAAATACACACCACACACCTAAATAATTAAAATGTTCCACTCCCAATAATTTAAATCATTCCACTCTCATCCACTCTATCAACCTCCTTTTATTTTGTGATTCTGCAGATATTCAAGATGTGTGTAAAAATGTTATCAAAAGCATTTTCCTGATGAAGAGCATATTTCTAAAATGCCCTTTTGCCTCCTAGAAAGTGATGTGAAAATAAATAATTTTAAAATTGGATTGTGTGTATAAATAATAATAATAAAAGTGTTGAATTCTTTAACGTTGAGATCATTACCTTGAGATTTTTGAAGGAAGAGCAGGATACAAATGCAATAAAATAAGTAATACACAGGTGTACTAATTTGGCAGATTATCTTTAAAATATTTTTACAAGGTGTTGATAAAATACTGAACTTTGTTTTTACTTTCAGTATCCATTGAATATAAAAACATAAGAGAAGCCATGTTGAACATAAAAACATAAGAGAACATAAGAGAAGCCATGTTGGATCAGGCCAATTGCAAAGTCCAATGCACTTGTCCCATTCTCAGACTTTACTAGGCTCAGTTCTAATAAGTGTTGTGAAGCAAGGGTTGTGCCGCTCTGAATCTTGACAATAATTTGTCAGTGGCCCTTTCTGCATCTGTATTTAGCCGTGGTTTCAGAGCACACCCTTTTCTTCCCTTCTGCATTCCATCCCGCTTTCACTTCAGGTTTGTTGCGGGGTTTTTTTGTTTGATTTGTTTTCTGCATCTGTTTCACAGGAATCAGTAGTCAGACTGCTTTCAGCATGCTCTTGTCCCTCGTTTCTCAAAACTAGTTTTGCTGTGCTTCTTAGCTCAGATCTGATTTCAAAATGCTAAAGTAGAAGTGTTTCTGTATGCCTTTAAATGCCACCCACTTCCCTCCCCTATTTCTGTTCTCTCCTCATTTGCGGGAGGAGTATAAGCACTTCAATGATGATAGAAGAACAGGAGGTGGAGCTATCCTATACTTCATTTGCTTACTATATATGTCATTTTAATGCTGTGAACTCTCCTATCCATTTTTTTCTGTTTGTTTTTTTATCAAATAAAGTTCTACTAAGATGAATTATTATAATTTTATTAGGTAATATTTTAATCCCTTTTTTAGTTTACTTGGGGAATATTAATCTGATGCAAATCTTTTTTAAGGACTGCCATTGCCTAAGAAGGATTGCCTTCCCTTGGTTTTTTCAAGGCAATAATTAGCATGTGAACAGATCAGCTGCTGGGTCAAAAGTTTAACAATCACAGTCCTTTACATGAGTCTGCAGAAAGGAAGATAAACTTGAAGAACAAGTTTTTCTTGTTGCTAGTCCATGCAAACCTTTCTTGCATGACCATAAACATTATGCTGTCAAGCATTTTCATTCAGGAAAATACAGAAAGAATAATCCACATAGAGTGGAGTTTCCGGTACCAACATCCGCTGAAAATTGACATGCAAAAATAAAAGCAAGAAAGGCGTACCGGCTCGAGTGCTGGGAAACTCTGGAGTAAAGACTGAATGCAGAAAGGGCCAACATCTGCTTTAGGTTTACCGTTCAGCGTCCGCTTAAAGATCACTTGGATATTTAATAAAATAACAGATTTTTTTTATGGAAGAGCTTTCTTTGATGGTTCTGTCTACTTTATGGTTCTGTCTACATAACCAAGTATCAGGTATCAAAGGCTGACATAGTATCAAAGGAGGAGACCCCATTGGGGAAGCTTTCCTCTAAACAGCTGTTTGGTAAACAGCTCAGGGGTTTATACCTATTCTGCTTCCTAATGATCTAAAGTCTGTGCATATTTGTCAGATTTCTTTCCAGGTGTTATTTTGTTTACAAACTGCATTTTGAACATTGGCTGAACTAATAAAATATAACACACAACCCTTTTCTCTGGACCTTGTTTAAATTACCTTGTTTATGCAAGGGGTGGAGAGAGTTGCCAAAAAGACATTTTTCTCCCTCTCCCAACATACTAGAATTTGAGGGTATCCAATGAAGCTGGTGGACAGTAGATTCAGAACAGACAAAAGACAGAGAGTGATTAAAATGTGGAATTCACTGGCAGAGGATGTTGTGATGGTCACAGGAATAAACAGCTTTAAAAGGGAATTAGATTAGATTCAGGGACGACAGGTCTATCAGTGGCAACTAGCCATGATGACTGAGGGGAACCTCCACATTCAGAGGCACTAAACCTCTGAATCCCAGAGCCAAAAGACAACATCAAGGGAAGCATCCTAGTTTCACACAGTGACCAACCAGTTCCTCTAGAGGGCCTCTATGCCCTGTTGTTGGCCCTCTACAGGAACTGGTTGGTCATTGTGTGAGACAGGATGCTGGACTAGATGAACCTTCACTGGTCTGATCCAGCAGGGCTCTTATGTTCTTAAAGTACTTTAAAGGACAGGTTGAAAAATGACACCTTAGTTATTTTTCCATTCTCATTCCTTTGGGAAATGGTGAACTCTGAGGGGCTTGTGAAGGAATTCTGGATATTGCCTCAATGCTTTTGCCCATCGCTCTGAATTGACCCAATCGTCTGTCAAGGTGGTGAAAACAGTTCAACTGTAACAGGGAAAGGAGGAGGAATCTAGCTGAAAGATCAGGGAATAGGCTGACAAAACACAGGTCCAGTGGCTCCTTAAAGGTTTATTCCAGCATGAGCTTCTATGAGTCAGAGTGATCTTCCTCAGACGCAAAAAAGAGAAAATCAGGAAGTTACAGAAAGGGAAGGGGGGAAGGGAACAAGGGGAAAGATTGAGGCTGGGAGGGGGCAGGCCAGCCTTTTCTCTTGGGAAATACCTACTTATTCTTTTAAACAACAGGAAAGGTGTTAGGTTGGGGGACCAATAGCCTTCCAAAAAAAACACAAATCAATTTTAAGTGAAGCAAATAACGGTCTGAAATGGCAAGCTACGGTGCTTGGAGGGAAGACAGCCACAAGATTTCCAACAGAGAGCAGGAAGACAGAGCACTGGCTTTCAGTAGTACTTCTACAATAAAGGCTGTTTCAGACATGACACCCAGATTTGTCAACAAGCATCCTCTCAGCTTGGGAAGGGCATAGCGACCCACTCCAGTATCTTTGCCAAGAAAACCCCATGGACAGTAACAAAAGGCTAAAGGATATGATGCCGGAAGATGAGTCCCTCAGATCGGAAAGTGTTCAATATGCTACTGGGGAAGAGCAGAGGGCAAGTACAAGTAACCCCCATAAAGAGTGAAGCAGCTGCGCCAAAGCCGAAAGGACACTCAGTTGTAGATGTGTCTGATAGTGAAAGGAAAGTCCGATGCTGCGAAGAACAATACTGCACAGGAACCTGGAATGTAATCTATGAATCAAGGTAAGTTGGATGTGGTAAAAAATGTGGCAAGACTGAACATCAACATCTTGGGAATCAGTGGACAGGAATGGAACAACTGTTTGGTTTAGCATAGGTAAAGGAATACAACAAGGATGTATATTGTCACCCTGCTTATTTAATATATATGCAGAGTACATCATGCGAAATGCCGGCCTGGATGAATAAAAAATCAGAATTACGATTGCCAGGAAAAACATTAACAGCCTCAGATATGGAGGCGATACCACTCTAATGGCAGAAAGTGAAGAGGATCTGAAGAGCCTCTTGCTAAGGATGAAAGAGAAGAGTGCAAAATTCCCTTGAAGCTCAACA